AAATTGAAAAGAAATTGAAAGATAAGTGACCAGACAAGAATTTAATTTGTGTTTCAGAAATCTCAGGGATGTTGGTGTGCATGCTATTGGGGCCCTGAACGGTGTTAATTTTACACTGTTTTCAATGGGGCTTGAATTAGTGGACTGGACCCATAGGCCTACTTGTCAATGTTTGATTAAGTGAAAGCACGGGTTTTACGATAAACCCTTAACGGATAGAGTTCCATAAACATATTATTGATGGGTGAGTGGGACAACACCTTGTCATATCTGTGCTATAGTAGAACTGGTCTAATAAAAAACTCCGGAAAGAAGCCGTTCCATGAATACGGACATCTACGCTGCAACCAAAGATTATATAGCGCCGCATAGCGGTGCGACGATCTTTGCTGATACTCGACTCAGCAAACGCCCACTTTTGGATATAAACGCTGAGGTACGGTGAAGCGAGGTGCATGCAAAGCAAGAGGGACGTTATTTTTGTGTGAAAGAAACAAAGTAAAACATTAAATGTAAGTAACAAAAAGAGCTCCCATCTTGGGGCCAGTTGGCAGAAATGAATGCCCTGAAGACGTCCACCGGTGGAACTGTTATGACGTCAGCAGGAAGGGCATTTCAGAGCCGAACCGCTGAATGAGAACTGCATCGGTTAGTGTGGTGCTTGTTCTCAGTTGCCGGAGCTGCCGATTATATCAGATCTCTTTGAAGATTGGGAAATCGTTAGACAGTCTCGTTTATTTAAGAAGTGTTAGATTATGGGGTTAGGGAACCCGTGTGAACCAGTTAATTGGGGAATTAGCGGAGCTTAGACTCGAAGGATTGTGTGCCGTTGTTCCATGCTTGTTGGCATAGCGACGGTTTACCCTGGTCTGGGAGCTTGCTTTCCTCGTTGAGGTTTACTGGGTGCAGGTTTCCGTTAGAGTCTGGTGAGGACTATTATAATCGCCTTCTTAATCAACTTACCTGTGTTATTTCGTAATAACTTGAAGTGGGTGAGGCTTATTTAAGTCACCTTAAACCTTGTTGCAGTTTGGGAACTGTGTTGTTTCGTATAGATTATCGTTGTACACGTCTACACCGTTGTGTTGTGTTGTACAGTTACGAAGATTGTACTTGCTTGTGTGGTCAAGACTTATCAGCTATAAGCCATCGGTAGATTATTTATTTAGACTTGAGGGTTACCCTGATCACTGTGAGGGTTACCTGGTTATTGTGAGGTTTACCCTGAACGCTGTGAGGTTTACCCTGATCACCGTGAGGGTTATTCTGGTGTAGGTTAAGGATAAGGCTGATTAATCACGTTCGTGGTGCAGTTGATCACGTAGGACTACCTCCCCGTGAGGATAATTTTGTATATAGTTAATTGCTGTTGTATATAACGGATAACTGAGCACTGACATTGAATAAACCAATCATATAATTGCCTTGAAAATCACTGGTCACCGTGAGATTTAATCAGTCCTGTATCACTTGTATTGACATTAATTGTAATCTTTATTGACATTTGGATCAATTACCTAATCATAGAGCGGTGGTAAACGTCCATCAAACGAACAGCCCCTAAGGCATAGTCCACCGTTCGTTAACTGGTATCCCCCTTGCGTTTGGATAGCCGCTCATTCTTGCGTAAGGTTAAATAAATATATTTGTGGGGTTAGGCCAGGTCAATTCTATCTCCGATCAGGCCAGTCTTCTTGTCCGCCACAAAAAGGTGTCAGTTGTCCCGCCACACTATGATCGCCATTTCAGCAATAGTTCCGGTGAGGGAAATAATAGGGTTCACGCAACACCTTTTTTGGCCTTCCACCGTCTTCCTTCTTTTTATTGCCTTCATCCACCACCAATATCCCGCGCTCTTCCTTTTCACCCGCCCAAAGTCTAACAATCTTTTTGCTCGTCCACTTCACTGCGTGCAACGACCCTGTGACCCCTGGCAGCCTGCCCAAATACATGTACACAGTTATTTTTAGACCTTGCCGGACAGGTGAGCGCCGCCATATGCACATATGTATATTTATACACACACAAAAAGCAATTCCCCTACATTATTAATACACCGTATATTGGAAAAAAAACATCGGGTGGCTGTTTTGAATGCATGAATACGAATTTTATTGAATGCAATTGCATGACACTTGCATTTCGTATAATTTCTCTCATTATTTAGGATCCAGCACGAGACATGAATTAATGGTCGGATGGCGAAACCTGTCAGCTCATTGACATAATGACAAGGTATGAAGAGAAACTCAAAGACTCTAAATTTAAAAAACCTGTCTGGAAGCAAGTGGAAAAAGAAATGAGTATACCTGCTGAAAAGTGCGAAGACAAAGCGAAAAGTTTGAAGAGGTCCTACCGGAACCATGTCCAGGCTTGCAAAAAGACAGGCAACTCAACGAGTCACTTCAAATGGGCTACAGAAATGCAGGTCCTTATGGGAAGTGACCCCACTGTGAAGCCAGCACACATGTGACAGTGAACTAAATGAAGTGAACAACCTGGGTAACTCATCTGGTGATGAATTAACCAATGGGCCTAAACTAACGACAAGAAAAAAGAAAACCAGGAGCCATGGGTTGATGCATCAAAAGTTAAGTCAGATGATGGATTACATGGAAGAAAGGGATCACCAGTTCCTTTCTTTCATGAAATCTGTCGACGAAGACAACAAAAACTTGATGCAACAACTTATTGACAAATTGTGAGGATAGAAACATGTTCATGTTATTATCAGCACTTCTACCGAAGAAAAACATTTTCCTCCTGTAGTCATGGTAGTTGCTTGACTTGTTTTATCTTTATGAAAGTTGCCATGACAGTGAAGTTTGTTTGATATTGGACAGTGACATTCCCATTGGTTTGTACAGCGAATGTCTGATTTTTCTTGACAGAGTGGACATTCTAATAAAATTGTAAAGCCAATGTCTGATTTTTACAAACCAGTGAGAATGTCCAGTGTCCACCAAAATCAGACATTTGCTGTACAATCCCATGGGAATGTCCAATGTACATGTGTCAAGAAAAATAAGATATTTGCTGTACAAATCAATGGGAATGTGAAATGTCCAATATCAAACTAACTTTACTGTCATATTGTTAACAAGCTTTTTACAAATCTTAAACCTATTGTTAAAACTTTCGGAGGAGTACATGCCTTGTTACCTACACCTTTTTGTGTGTATCTAAAACTTAAGCATAAATTTATTCCTTTTTGAAAAAAAGGAAATCAAAAAACATTAACTTATCACACCAGTACTGGGATTTGCAATATACTGTACATGGATTGAGCATATCCAATTGAAATGTTTTCCCAGAAAAGCTGTGAAAAATGGAAATATTCACCGTAATTTACTTTAGGGTTTATTAATATATACGTTGGAAGGGCTAAACTCTCCCCAACGCAAAAATACATCTTGAAAACAGACGTTATGCAAAGCACAGGCAGCAAGAACTGAAGACACAAGAAAATTTGAGTCACTGACATCAAATTGAGTGAGCCTGCGAAATCTTCCTTGTAAGTGGCCGAAAGGCCTTTCAATCACTTTCCTAGCGGCACACAACTCCCTGTTGAATTTCCTCTGACCTTGTGTCAGATTACCAAAACCTTTAAATGGGGTTTGTAAGAAGGTTTTCAGGGGGTAGGCTGTGTCCCCAATTATATACTCCTCTCCTGGAAACTTGATGAAGGCATCCTGATATACACTAGAATTGCACAGTACACGAGCATCGTGGCTGCTACCTGGCCAACCACACTTGACGTTAATGAACATCAATTGATTGAGTTGCAACTTTGCTTCGTTTCGGATCTAGCCTTTAGATTATTTTTACATAGGCTAAGGTTTCGTGTTGCTGATGATACATATGTTCCTGCGAAGGAATGAAAAGAAACTGGGACAATTGTCAACCTTGGGTCCGTATGTATAGCCTAGGTGGTGATACTTCATCTTAGTTTCTGGTGCACGGTGACGTGCACCAGACCATAGAGTGGCAGACGCAGTACTATTCAAACCATATATGTTTAAACTTATCCCCAGACGTCCGCTCATCTCCCACTAATGTGGAGAGCAGCGGAAGTCGGGCCTCATGATTCTGGGGAAGGCTAATAATTTAAACCCAATCTGACTTAATCTCGTAATACATTGTCTAACTTACCAATATACCAGAGGACAACCAATACCGATTTTGCTGCATCTGTATGTGGATTTCCTGGGATTTGTCTAGGTTTCAATTCTGCACAGGGCCCAAGTTGTTCAATGAGAAGCCCAAATGTACTTCTTTCAAGCCGAAAATGTCTCTTAAAGTCAGTTGGTTCGTACCGCAGAACAGTATACTCGACGTACAGTTTTGGCACGGATTCCCTACGATTTGTGACATTTACATTCATCTGATCATTACGGCATACATGACGATAATTAAGAGCAAACCTGTTGATTCTCTCATCAAGTGATGGTATTGCAATGATACCAGCTAATTAAATTTGACCGACGCCTTTCCATTTTTGCGGTGAGCAGACGACAGAGTACCATTGTACATGTATTTACGTTTTCACTCTTTAAAGTTTCCGCGTCGTGATAACCCTTGACCTTTTTCCTAGAACGCCTTCGCGGATACGGCTGGTGTAGCGTTCGATTAGCCTCATTTCGATGCTTCCCTTGGTGTGGAACCGGTGCATTCAAAGGATGCTAATCGAACGCCATTTCGAGGCTTCCCTTGGTGTAACACCGGTGTATTCAAAGGAAGCTAATCGAACGCAACCTTCCTTGCGCGCTGCGCGCGTGACGTTCGTGCATATCGCATAAGGGTGCATTCCACCAAATGGTTGTATTTCTGCGCGCAAGCTCATTAATATTTTGTGATTCCACGGAGTTTTTGCAATAAAACAGGCCATAATCAGGAGGCATCATAAAAATATTTTTACAAATCTCGAATTTAAGCCTGATAGTCTCCAATTCAGGGTATTTCTTTCACAAAAAGCCCGAAATTGCGGACCTATTTTGGATAGAGGCGGCTGGTTACATTCAGAAATATGCTTAGTTTTATTGCTATTTTGGGGGTATCTTCGTTCAAAGGCGAATAAAAAAAAATTTCGAGGGTAACCCCCATGAAATTGAAACGAAAAGTAATCTTCTGGCCATAATCGTGAATTTCCAGTGAAAGAACGAAGGCCAACCTCTTCACAAGGGTCAACAGGCGGCGCTATTTCGGTCCGATTTTGCGCTGTATTTGAATGGGAGGAGGCGTCGGAAAGTTTAGGTGTACGTGTGTGCCGTGCGTGTGTCGAGCAAAGACGGTCGAATTTTGACAGACTTTGAACTCAGAAATATCACTAAAGCCCAAAACATTTGCCTTTTGCATTTCATAAGGCAGTAGGTGGTGTAAAAGGTATTTTTGGTGAGTCTTTGGAATTTTTGAGAACCGTTGCCACTTTACTTAGAGAACTCAATGTGACTAAGCTAGATCCGCAAACAGGGCCCCACGAATACTCCTCCGCTGTATACTGGGGCCTTGCCCCGATTCATAGGGATTTCTTATGCAAAATTTATCAGGGATATCCGGCATGTCCGGGGCATAACTAAACATTTGCTTGATTTTATGAGCTGAAATTGCACTGGTGTGTTCACTACTTACGGTGTAATTAGGGTGTAAACTTTCCGCTAGATTACTAACTCGCTTTTTCCTCGTTTGGAAGAAAAAAATGGGTTTTTTTCCCGTTTTCCCACTCTGGACGAATGTCCCCCCTTTCACAAAACTGCGGCTGTTTCGTCACTTTCGTGCCACGTCACAGAGAGCGAGCCGCGCAACCAATGATTTGCCGCAAACAGTGTGTGACTGAACAGGGAACCAGCCAAGGGCGTTGCGTTTTAGCTGCGACACAAAACAGCCGTAATTTTCTACGAATAACTAGATCGACAGGTACTTTCGCAGATCTGAATGAGATTCGTAGTGCTTGAAGTCTGGGTGCAAACTAGACAGGCTCTCGTATAGGGTGCCTTTACTTAACCATACAGAGGAGTCTGTGTAATGACAAGTCAGGCCAAAATTCGTACAGATGCAGAGTGGGAAAACGGCAAAAAAGGCAACTTTTTTCCTCTGGACGAGGAAAAGGCGAGTTCTCTACAATTGGCAACCTATACGGAAGTTTACACCGTGAGTAGTAAACATACCAGTGTAATTTCAGCTCATAAAGTCAAACGGATGTTTAGTTATGCCCCCGGATATCCTTGATAAATTTTTCTAAAGACATGAAAGAAATCCCTATGAATCGGAACGTGGCACAGTACACGACGGAGGAGTATTCGTCGGGCCCTGTTTACTGGGAATACGGGTCTAACTCTAACTTAGCCTGCCCCCAGAACTGTGAGGGCCACTCCTCTCCCACGAATGTTTGTGGGAGAGGAGTGGACGTCGGACCCCACAGTTTTGGGGTAACTTTACATGGTGTTGTACTGCTATGGGGTTTTGAAAAGTACTCTGCCAGGGTTAGGTAGTTGTACCTGAGAAAACCTCCGTTTGTGCTTTCTGGAGCAAAATCTACCCCTCAATTAATTTCTACCTGTATCGAACATCCGGGTTCCAGTGCATTTTGTAGAATTTAACCTACATTATTGTCAAAAAATGAGGTTTTTTCCTACCATCCTCACCTCTCATCCCTCAATGATCTGTCCACATCTGCATTCTTTTGTGGCCATACGTCACGTGACAAAACAGACACACCGTATTCGCGTAACGAACGTTTATCTTGTTTTGGATACCAGTCCCGATAATTCCGACTACTCTCGTTAAGATTATGTAGAGAGATGTCTTGGAAATCAGTGGTCAGGGTACCACAGTAATCACATATTGGCTTGACCATTTCAGAAGTAGGGGAGGAAGCAACATCAGGGCGCGCGGTACACGGTGCGTTGTCAAGCTGGTTATTTGCACACATTTAAAATGTTGAGAAATATGTACTTCAGGGAGTGATAATACACTACTCAAAAGAATTAAAGGAACAAGAGAACAGAAAGTTTTTGTCATGATCTATATGGGCTACCGTTAGAACAAGAGGCATATGTAACTTTAATGCCTCTTGTTCTAACTGTAGCCCATATAGACCATGACAAAAACATTCTGTTCTCTTGTTCCTTTAACCCCTCGATGACGGGAGTTTTCTTCCAAAAGCCGACTCCAAGAATTCCAGCCTCGCTTGGCCACGAAGGGCACCTGCCAAACCGCAAATTCTCGGTTTGTGGCCCTGCGTGCTCTGCACGCTTTGAATTACACAGGGAAAAGACTCATTGTTCAATGGTATGTGGCTCTACTCATGTTTCCACATTCCTGTTGCCTCTTTTCAAAATTGGGACTATTGTGAAGCTGGTGATTTTGATGCAAATTCGGTCTTTTCATTTCTGGGCTACACTCAAAGGACAATCATCATATGTAGAAGAGCCAGGGTCTGCTTTCTATCACCCTGTGCGCTCTAGCGTGGGCCGAGAATAATAGCTGAAAAGTGGGCTGAAGATCTCAATTTTTATGGCGGCTCTTACTGTCTCCCGGTGCGAAGGGGTTCATTCTTTTGAGTTGTGTATTTCGCAAGGAAACGGTTGTGAAGTTGTGGGACTAATTAAGTGTCCGTTTTCTTTGTAAGTCAGGGATTTATCTGTTGCAAAATGGTTGAGCCCATATGTGATTAGTGTGGCTCCCTGACCACAGGTTTTCCAGACATCATAATCTTAATGAGAGTTGTTGGAATTATCGGGACTGGTATCCAAAGCAACATAAACGCTTGTTACGAGAATACGCTGCGTCTATTTTGTCACGTGGCGTACGGCCATAAAAGAATGCAGATGTTCGCAGATCGTCGAGGGATGAGAGGTGAGGATGGTAGAAAAAAATCACATTTTTTGACGATAATGTAGATTAAATTCTACAAAATACACTGGAACCCGGCTGTTAGATATAGGTAGAAATTCATTAAGGGGTAGATTTGCTCCAGAAAGCGCAAACAGGTTTTCTCAGGTACAACTACCTGACCCTGGCAGAGCACTTTTCAAAACCCCATAGCATTACGGCGCCATGTAAACTAAGTAGGCTTAGAGTCACACGGAGTAGTGACTGTGAGTTTTTGAAGTAATAAAGTATTGTTTTAGTAATGTCGTGGAGCGTTAGTATGACCTGACCAATTTACAGTCTTTTTGTCCCATTTTGACATCGCCGGTAACCATTGCGCCCCATCCCCACTTCACCTCATCCCCACTATGCCCCATTTCCACTTTGCCCTGTTCATGCGCAAGTGTGGTCGAAAGAGGAGTTAAGAAAGCAAGCAGGTGGGGAAAAAGGTATTTTGGTGAGTCTTTGGAATTTTTGAAAACCGTGGTCACTTTACTATATGTAATGTTGTGGAGCATTAGAATGACTGATCCCATCTCAAAATTCAAAAAAGAGGAATACTAACGCTCCCTCAGTAGAGCTACATCTAGTCATGGAGTTAAATCATTGGAAGTTCAGATTGTGAGGGGCCGTGTTTTCGCTTCCTTACCTTCTGCATTAGGCTGCGCGATGTAAACAACTTTTGAGTGACGTAAAATACCTTTAGACTTGCTGAAGATTTTTCTCCCTGCTGGCCCAAAAAAAGTTAAGGCTTTAGCGGTAAGTTGCACTCGTAAATATCTAGAGTTCATGTATTTAGGCCTAGCTTACAAGATACAAAAACCATGGAGGTGGCAGGGGCAATTACTATTCATTACAGTTTCTTTTAAAGTTTCAGATGACAGTATTTCAAAGTTGCTGTTCATGTATGACTGAAGTCGTGACTCCGCTGACAACTGAGCATGTGGGGAAAAGTTCGGATGCTTAGAAAAGGCATGCTCCTTATGTCATTTTTTCACTGCCTGGCAAATCGTTTTGCCCTCACATATGGAGGGACGAGTCTTCATGTGGCAAAGCTTTGTTTTTCCATGAAAATGTTCAATTCCGGCTTACATTAAATATCCAGATTAATACTGTAGTTATGTTTCTAAGAACAGTAATTCAATGTAGGTTTTTTCTTTCTTAGAGATTCATTTCATTCTTTCAAGAAATTGTTATTAAAGTGACGGTGTGGGGTTTTTACAGCTAAGGCCTACAAAATAAAAAATCTTATTAGGACAAAAAAGAGATTATAATAAGTATTCATTAGGCCTAGATACTACAACCAACGTGACATCCAACAGCAAAATAAATGTTACTTTCTCATCTTGCAGAACATGTGCACAAGCCAAGTGCTGCAGTCCAGGGCAAGTTTCTCCAGGAACTACATTGTATTCACCGTCAATGCTTACAAAAGCATTTTGGTATTTTGTTGATGTGAATGAACCAAAGAAGCCTTGTGTGATTTCGCCATCCCAACCTGATCCAAGTCATGCTCCTGCACCAGAACACAACATCACTTCATAGCACCACCACCACCGATGATGATGACAGCGACTCAGAGTTTGATGACAGTGAGTCTGACAACTTAAAGGAGATGGGCCATGTAGGGTTAAATTGACATTACGTCATGTACGTTGATAGTTCTCAACCATCTTGTATACAAGAAGTTGGATTAATCCCTCTTTTATGTCATTAAATCACAATTCTTTGGAATTTCTTCAGACAGCTTTCTGTACATGTACCTGGCGGCTGTTGTTTAGCTTTTGCTCCCAGAAGGGAGTGAAATAGGGTTGTGAAACCTGTCATTTTTAACACTTTTCTGCGCATTTTCAAATTATGCAGATGTGTTTTCTTGTTATACATGTTTTTTATGTGTTGATGCATGATTTACAAGAAATCTTCCCAGCACGGCCCATCGCCTTTAACTGATTTCGACCCATTGAACTTGCAAACTCCATCAAAATAACATAATGAAGCCAGTGTATGTTCGAAAACTGCTTGCATTGGACACACATCAAGTACTGTTGCAGTGTCACCCCGCTCCAAGGTGTGACATTTTATTGTCACACCTTGTCACAGTCTCCCATGCTTCCAATCCACAGAGAAGTAAATTTTACCAATGCAGTGTCGTTTTTTTGTCAGGAGATTTCCCGGGGAAAAATATAAGTTTTTCAGTTCTAGCATGTTTGTTATTTTGTCAAGAAAATTATAGTTAATGAAATAATCTCCACAGTAAAGCATGTGCTGTTTGTTTCAGTTTTATAAATAAATAAAAATGTTTTTGAAAATGAAAAAAAAACATAGGACAGTTGGGAAAAAAATAAAACACAGGGAAACACTTGCAATACCTTTATTTCTTATTTGAAATTTAAAATCATTTCAATATTTTTTGAGGTAAAAAAAGAGATTGATTCTGGAAAAAATGTCTTCCGACAATAAAGGATAAGATAAAGTCGCACAAGGTGCCCCACACGGCAACAAACATTTATTTCATGCATGGTTTTACTTGGACGCCGTACCTCTGCACAAACCTTGAAAATAGGTCACAGTCAGCGACAGATGGCGTGTTCGTGAGAGCATCGAAGATCACTCTGTTTTTATTGTTGAGTTTTGATTGTTGTTTTCAAATTGCATTTACAGTAACTTAAGGAAGGTGATCAGGACATTAGTTGATATTATACTTTTTTATTTACAAGTTAAAAGAAACAGCCTTGTTCTAAAAAATCATGGTCTCTAGTGGATACATGTATGGGGCATGTGTGGGAATACTAAGACTCCACTCAGTAGAGCTAACTGCCGTAATACATGTACATGTATATAGAGTAACCCATCCTACATGGGCTATTATTCATGCTATTCGTTGAGGTAAAGACTAAGAGTTCCATAAGACACAGACATTTAATACTATTTCCCCATAAACATGGTTAGGTTGAAGTGGTTTGTGAGAGGGCAGTTAATGTAATGTTATGGAAATTTTGATGGGTTTCTATTTTCTTGCACCAGTCGGGTGCACTGGATGGAACCAGACCAGTCTACATTTAGGACGAATAGATCTTAGACTTTATTTCTTGAAAAGAATCCTTCTGGGGTAGACCTAGGAATCTATCAAAAGAAGGAAGAAAAATCCTGTGATGTGGGCTCAGTCTACCCCCAGAACTGTGGGGTCTGTCATCTGCTGCGCTCGCTCCCACTGGGTTCGATCCTTTCACATCTGGATTGCAGATCAGTGTGCATACCGACTGAGCAGTATGCATTCC